TGCTAAATAAATTAAATAATATATAATTCTATTTATAGTTTAGTATATCTATAAATATAGTTATAATAGCAGCTTTTTCTAGACTTTTTTCATATATCATGCATTCCAAAAAGTATATAATTCTATTTATAGTTCAGTGTCTATAAAGTATCTATCATCATGGTATCTATAAATAGTTGTAGCAGTTTTTATAGTGAATAATATGCTAAATTAAAAAATGTGTAATTCTATTTATAGTTTAGTATCTATAAATAATTTAGCAATTTTTTTGTTTTAAGAATAATATGCTAAATTGAACAATATATAATTCTATTATATAGTTTAGTATATCTATATAAAATATAGAGTTTATAGATTTTTTTTCATATTATGCATTCCAAAAAGTATATAATTCTATTTATAGTTCAGTCTATAAAGTATCTATCATCATGGTATCTATAAATAGTTGTAGCAGTTTTTATAGTGAATAATATGCTAAATTAAAAAATGTGTAATTCTATTTATAGTTTAGTATCTATAAAATATTATGTACTATTTATTCTTATTATATATTATTATATACTATATATACTAGTATTATATACAATAGATATCTATAAATAGTTTAGCAGTTTTTAAAATAGAGAATAATATTACTTTTTACCTATGCATAATTCTATTTATAGTTTAGTATCTATAAATAATTTAGCAATTTTTTTGTTTTGAGAATAATATGCTAAATTGAACAATATATAATTCTATTATATAGTTTAGTATATCTATATAAAATATAGAGTTTATAGATTTTTTTTCATATTATGCATTCCAAAAAGTATATGATTCTATTTATAGTTCAATGACTGTAAAGTGTCTATCATCTATAAATAGTTGTAGCAGTTTTTTTTACAGTGAATAATATGCTAAATTAAATAATATATAATTTAGTATCTATAAATAGTTTAACAGTTTTTTGAATGGAGAACAATCTGTTGTTTCTTGTTCTTATGAATAAATTGTATTTATATATATATCTATGAATAGTTTAGCAGTTTTTTTTTATAGAAAATAATATGCTGTCTATCTTGCTTATGCATTTATTCCAGAAAATATATAAATCTAAATTTATATAGTTTATATAGTTTTTTATAGAGAATGATATATTGCAAAAAATTTCACTTGAATACAGCAAGTTAAGTGAACACAGATTTTGTTCAAAATTTTCAGAAATTTCTTTTAAGAAGGAAAATATTTGCAGCAATTTTTTTTTTTCAGGAACATTGCACTTTTTTCAACTTCTTAATTTTTTTTTTTTTTTTTTTTTTTTCTATAATATCTTCGCCTCGGATTGGAAAAAATTGAGCTTCCCTTCTTCTCCCCCTCCTCTTCCTCTCGATTTCGAATTCTGATCGTCCGAGGTGAAACGAAGTCGAGAATCGAGATTCTCAAATTATTCCCCATGTTTCTTTGATTAACCGTTAAATAAATTTGTAACTGTAACGCCAACTTTAATGATATCGGCGAAGGCAAATTTTCTCACATTTCGTCCAACGTGGAAACTCGTTTACGACTTGTGAACTTTCGTCATTAACGATTAACATAACGTAGATTCGTCTGCGCTTATACCCGTATCCAATAACGCTCTTCGATCAATCTTCATTATTCTTCAACATCCAGCCACGTTTCACGTTCCAATGAACGGATACAGTTCGATTACGGTTCTTGGATAAGCATCGAATTATCTTACCACCCCATACTGCGAAGAAGTAGTTGCTTCACCTCAATTTTTAATGTAAAATCGAGCGTGTATAGAGAAATCGTCTCGAGAATTAAAAAGAGTTAAATTAAATTAGAATTAAATTAAAATAGAATCTCATCGCGAAGCGAAGATATTACAACGGTTGTTATATTTATAATTATTTTCAATCTTTCGAGGATGAATCGGAAAATATCAAGGTATTGAAAAAGCGGAATATTTTATTTTCTTTTTAATCAACTACATCCCAAAGGGTTACATCGTGGAATATTTCAATTCCACTTTTAGAATTCCGGGGGAAACGTTTTACGTTTCTTCGTCGTATCGGATCTTATCGCGACAATATCGTGTACGAAAAAATTCGCAATGGCGAGAAACGAAGGATGGATGAATCGAGCGATACGGAGAAAGAGAGAGAAGATCGATTTCTCGAAGCTTAACAGGTCCCGAGTCGCCGTCTTGTTTAATCTGTTCGGATTATGGGGGACAATGAGAATCCACTTTGATCGTTCATCCGTCGAGAGCGAAGCCGGAGTTGGTGAATCGACGATCCAACCTCCTCCGCCACGAGGTGTGTTTATTAGAGCGCCGTCTCGTGTTTATGACGCGAAAACGTGATTCGGCCATTCCAGATGGCGCCACGTACCATCCACGATGCTAAACGTCCGAGTTGAAACTACGTATGTCGCGAGTTGGGTTTAAGATTCAACGCGAAACGGTGGTAATGGTTGGAAGAATAATGGATGGAGAGTTTCGATCGTTATTATTGAGCTATATCGGTTTAAGATTCGTTCGGACGAGATTCATTCCGTGATGGAATGTAATAATTTGTATATGTGATATTGGGCGAGATATTGGACTATATTCGAACGGTCTGTGCAGAAGTTGGAACGCTCTTTGTTCTGGTGCAGGCGTCGATTCGAGCGATGGATTTGAGACGTTGCAAAGCAATGGCTCGCGTAATTTGGAAGTAATTTGGAAGCGGTGGAGTTTCGATTTGTAGTGTCGTGGACGAGATATGCCACGATACAAACGATCTATAGATGTTGAAACGCGTTGTGATGCAGGCGACGATTCGAGCGATGGGTTTGAGACGGTGCAAACCAGTGGAACGAGATATTTCGCGATACGAACGATCCATAGAAGTTAAAACGCGTTGTGATGCATGTTAGACATCCATTTTGAGCGATGGGTTTGAGACGGTGCAATGGAAGTGATCAGTGGTTTCATGAACAAAATATCTCGCGATACAAATTAAAACGTGTGATGCAGGTTAGGTGTCGATTCGAGCGATGGGTTTAAAATGATGCAAAGCAATGGAAGTAATTTGGAAGTGGTGGAATGATCATGAACAAAATAGCGATGGGTTTGAGTGCAAAGAAATGGTTCGCAGAATGATCAATGCTTCGATGAATGATATCATGGACGAAATATCTCGCAATATATATTCTCGTATAGTTATAAAGATACATCGATTCAAGCGATGGATTTAAGACCGAAAATATTTCAAAATATAAATTTCACGCAACATTATAAAGATATTAAATTTATTAAGAGAATTGTCTCGTGCATTCGTTATTTTATGCATCCATCGTGGAATAAGAGTGAAAATTATTATTGTCCACTTGAAAATTATAATACATCTGGAGAACAACTCTCGAAATTCGACATTCGTATTACATTACATTATCATTATCCCAAAATATTTTGTTCACGATCGCGAGCCGGTTAAATCCATCGCTCGAATCGACGTCCGCATCGCGTCGACACTTGTTTCGCGTATTTTTCCACCTTTTCTACAAGCGTTGACGTTATAATCTCTGAACATATCTTGAAACAAGATACGTTTCAAACCCATCACTCATCTCGATGATCAAGATTTTGGATGCCGTTAACGAAAATAATGATTCTCCGTTGCTGGAAAACGCTCGTGGATTAAAGTGTCCGACGAAGTGTACAGGATCGATAGAAAATACCTCTGTCGATTTGTTGGGGATCAAGCCGGATACAGACATGCTTTTTCTCCTTCCATTTACCCCCCTCCCCCCTTTATAATACCTAAAAATATCCCAAACTAAAGTTTGTAGTTTAAAAAAAAAAAAAAAAGGCCAAAAATTCAAAATCTGAAATAGAAAATCTCGTTTTCACTCTCGTGGAAAATTTCGATACAAAAAGAAAAAAAAAAAAGAAAAAATTCGACGTTTCGAATTTTTCTTCTGAATTCAATTTCTTCTTCTGAATTGAAAATGAAAATTGAATCGTGAACTCATTGGTAATTTTCACGAAAGAGGGGAGCATGATGTCGACGAGAGTCCGATCGACAGATGATCAGATCGTTGCGATAAATTATGATAAATTGGATAAATTTCATCCGAGAAAATCGTGCAAATTTCCCGCTTTTATAATATTTTACTAGGATAATCTGCGTGAAAGTGAAGGATGAAAAGGATAATTTCGATTACGATACCGCTAATTATTCAATCGATCAAAGAAATCTCGTTTGATTCAATTTCGATCTTATTAATTCCGTGTGGAGAAACAGCTGATGTAAACTTGCTGGTTAAATAAAACACTTCCATCCTTCTTCTTCCTCTTCTTTTGTTAAAAAAAGTAAAAGTTGGATAATTTTTATCACAAAAAATGCGAAAGTAAATAAAAGTTATCGAGGATATATACGCGTTTCATTCCTTTGAAAATTCTTCTTTTCAGCTTCTTGAAAAGAAGAAGAACACCTAGAAAATCGGGAGACGCGAGCGGCTTTTGGCTGGCTCTTGAACGACATCTTTGCAGCGATTAGTTTTGTATAAACTGTCCTGCGATAGCAAGTTCTCGAAGCCATTAGAAATACTGAAAAAGAGGGGGAGGGGGGAAAGGCTTCAAAACGACAAAATGGTTGAAATTATGCTGGTTCCTTTGTGACCGCCCCTCCCCATTTAATCGATTCCTTTTAATAATTGTTCGTCTTCTCTTATATCATGCCCGTTAAAGAAAACGAGCTCCCCTTGTAATTCCCTTTAAATATCGATAAACGTCTCGCCAAAGGCAACGTACGAAACTACTCGGCCACTTTTTCCCAGACAAATGCGAATAAAAGTCGAACCAGGTAAAAAATATTTACCTCCTCGATATTCGAATTTCGATAATCGACGTATCTTCTTGAATCAAGGAGGTATAATTTTCACTCTTGTACGCGAGAAACAATACAATACTTGAGAATCTCGCGAATTACATCTCGCGTTTCTTGAGGAAAGGAAATTCGATAAACTTTGATCCTCGAAAAATCGGATTTAAAAATAACGACGTCGAAAATATGGAACGAGGAACGTACGCAAAAATTAAATAAAAAAATTTTTAAGAGGAGAGAGAGAGAGATATTGCGAATGGACAAATGGATGTTGACGGACATCGAGAGCTGGTGCGAAGTCATCCGGGCGGAACGTTGCGAAAAGAACGTTCTTGAAATGTGGAGAGAGAGGGGGGAGGAGGAAGGGAGGGAGGGAGGGGGGGAGGGAGGGAGGGAGGGAGGGAGGGAGGGAGGGAGGGAGGAGAGAGAGAGAGAGAGAGAGAGAGAGAGAGAGAGAGAGAGAGAGAGAGAGAGAGAGAGAGAGAGAGAGAGAGAGAGAGAGAGAGAGAGAGAGAG